AAGATTTAACACCAGTATCTGTCCTTCAATGAGCTCCAGTGCAAGAGAGACACCTACTGGTGCTAAATCTTCTTTCTCTTTCTATCAAGCAGACGCATACATGCAAACCATCCCCACTCTATTTATATTATCTCTATGGAAATTACTCGATAACTGTAAATGGTGTATTTAAATATTTATTCCCTGTTCCACCAACTCATAGTTAAAGGTTCGATTATTATTTGTAATTTTAAAGTGTCTAACTTCAAGTATTCGGAGGAAATGATTCTAAACAGACTTTTTTTTAACTTAAACTCATGTTTGCAATAGCATAAACATTTAATTCACATTTTTACCTCACAACACGTGTTCATCAACCGCCATAGATTTATATAGTTTACCGAATCGCGTTTGACGCCATTTTTTTTTTTTGTTCACATTAACCAATTTCATGGAAACTTTTAATTCTTAACTCTTATTCTTCTAAGTGTTTGTTCTGACAGTTGGCAAAGCCTAAAGTCATTTAAGAAGAAGAAGAAGAAATAACATTACTTTCTCTATTATGATTGGTCAATTCTAACGAAAAGTGTACGTTTTCTAGATAGAATTTTGACTTTTTCCCTGATCCCTCTTTAAAAAATTGAAACAGCTAAAAATAAAATTTGTTACTGTACCAAACTTCTGTCTATTATTTTTAAAAATTACAATAAAATTCTTTAAAAATTCAATAAATTTTAATAGAATTTAGGAAATTAAAATTATTTTACAAACTTCCAATTATTTGTTTATAAAATTTCAATCATCTTCAATTTAATTAATAATAACAAAATTAAAATATTTTAAAAACTTAAATTTTTAGAATTTTAAATAAAATTTTTCGAGACTTTTATTTAAAAAAATTACCTAATTTAAATCATTTTAAAATTTACTAATTAATAAAAATTGTAATTGTAACTTTTTGTAGAAATCAATTCAATTATTTATAAATTATTAAATAAAAATTCTTTGAGACTTTGGTTTTTTTTAATTTCTAATGAAATTTTTTAACAAATTGGTAAACTAACCACGAGAAAACTGCACACTATTAGAAATTACAAATTTTAATGAAGAATTAAATTATTTTTAACTGTATATTATCCGGACAAGAAGTCAATTAAAAAATTCCAAAGTAAAAGAAATCCAAAAAAGTAAAAAAATAGTTACACTGAGAGAAATGGATAGTCAGATTTTGATGTTAAAAAGATGATGTTACACGATACTATCATTATGCTACTGCCAACCATCACAGATGCTAAAAAAAATATAGTTATGCTACCCCGTACTACCAAGATGTTACTCCTGATGATATTGATGGTAACGGTGACTATCTAGATAGCTGTCTGTATACGTAGCATTAAAGATGGTCACCCTAACCACAATTATGTTACCCACTACTATAAATTTCTCTCCGTGTACACTTTGGACTTATTTTTCGGATTTTTTGTCCTGATCAAAAAGTCCAATGAAAATGAGAAAATTTGATAATTTTTTTTATTTATTTCTCACTCTACAACTCAAAAAATAATTATCGAAATGACTTTAAAGACGGCTTATTTTACGCAAAATTTAATCAGCTTTCAAACCGTATTTAAGATTTTTTTGTATCTCCTTTTATTTACGAGATATGATTGAAAAAGTGATGGCATGTTTTTTCATAGAGTCGAATGTAATCGTCCTGATACTCACAGTCAACGAAATGAGCAACCCAAAAAAGGACAATTTCATTTAAGGCGATATATCATTAAAAATGTGAAGCCGTGTTTCGACCGATTGGTGCATTGAAATTCAACTGTGACGACTCGATTCTGGCTTCGCGGGGCTGCGAAAGGGAGAGAAAACAGGGACGAATTTATACTGGGGAATACTAAATAATGATGTTTCACGAGTAATATAAAGAAACTCAAAAGTTCATCGTTTCCCTGCATGAATTCGTCCCTGTTTTCTCTCTCATTCGCTGCCGCGCGAAGCCACAATCGAGTCGTCACAGTTGAATTTCAATGCACCAATCGGTCGAAACACGGCTTCACATTTTTAATGATATATCAAAGACGGATTAACCTTTTTTAAGGGGTTACACCACTTTGACCCGTTCAAAACATAAAGCTTTTTCAACCATTTTTATTGAAGAATAGAAATTTTTTTAGGAAAATTAAATTACAGTAGGGTATTGTACTACTCTTGAACTACAAAAAAATATATACAAATTTCTTTTTTTTAAATTGTCGGTTTGACAGATGATATGTTAAAGTGCTTTAAAAATGTATCGCCATAAGGTAGACACTATAACTCGGTCCAGAATTAAGCTAGACCAAAAAGTAAAAATGCTTTAGTTTCTGTAGCTCAAAATCTAGCAAAATACGTATCCGTTTTAAAACAAATTTATTTTTCACAAAATGGCATCGATTTGAAGGAAAAAGTCCGTATTTTTGCCTAAATTTCATTATTTAAAGTTGTCTAGAAAATTTAAATATTAATATTTCGAAAAATCCGTACGTATTTCGCTAGATAATTATATCACAAACAAAATAAAAAAGAACTAAGAGGATCGATTGAAATTTGTGGCATCCAAAGTGTCCACCGATTTTTAAAATACAGTTTTGAGAAAAACGCGTTTAAAGTTTTCATTACAATGTAAACGTTGGCGCGCGACCCTGCTTGAACAGTTCGAAAATTGTCTTTTTACTTGAGATATCGATATATAACTAATGACATATCATTTTGGTGACCATAAGGAGTATTTTAAGCAAAAAAATTTTTTTTCAATTTTTTGAAAATTTCAAAGTGGTGTAACCCCTTAATTTTCGAAGGCTTATTTTAAAGCTAAAATTCTAACAAAGATTATTGTGTTTTTAGAAAAATGTTATCTAAATTTTTGAAAAAGTTGAAGTCAAGAGACAAAAAGTAGAAAATTTGATAATTTTTTTTAATTCTTTCTCACTCTACAACTTAAAAAATAATTAACGAAATGACTTCAGAGATGGCTTATTTTACGCAGAATGTAATCAGCTTTCTAACCGTGTTTAAGTTTTTTTTGTACCTCCTTTTATTTCCGAGATATGATTGAAAAAGTGATGGTATGTTTTTTCATAGTGTAATGTGCAACCGTCCTGATACTCGTGGACGGTAGTGTACATAATTTTATTTTTTAAATTTACTTGTATATAGTTTTCTCGTATGCATTAGTCAGGAGAGGTTTTTTACAGTTTCCCTCTCCACTGTCGAGAAAACCCATAAAGGTTGTAACGATATCAATATGATAGTAAATAAGAGAATAAATAAGAGTGAGGGATATGGACGAATGAGAGTTGAGAATTATATGTGTGGATCCACAAACAAGTCAAAGGTGGAGATTGTCATAGAGAGTAAATTTGAATGTAATCGGCACTGACAATCACTTAATATCTTGACGTACAAATTAAAATTTAAATAAATAAAATAATAAATAAATTTAAATACAAATTTAAGTTGACTTAAATTGAAAATTGCTATTAATTAAATATAAATTTCGAATTAAAATAATAAGGACAACGCTTCGAAAGCGGAGGTACCGAAATAAATCTAGAAAGCCACACCATCAATTGGTAAGCTATATTTTGCAATTGGAAGTGTAATATAAATTATATCGAAACAATGTTATATTTGGAAATTGTGATTGAAATTGTTACAGTGTGGTTTTCTTTGCGTATCAAAAGTTGCAAGAACACGATTTTCCAATCCCCTCAAATCGTTTTCTTATGCTATCGAGTTAGTTACGAGCAATTGGATACTTAATTCCACCAGATGAAGTGTCGGTGAACGACTCCACGTTGGATTATTGTGTCATCCATATTGACAGTTAGTAAACCAATCAGGCTGCAATAAGTGAGTTTATGCAAAAATATATTAGAGATTTATTTGGAGAAATTAAATTGACAAAATTATAAATAAAAGTCAACATTAGTTAAAATTAAAATAATTGTATTGTGGACATTTGTATGTAGTGTGTGTAAAATTAAGTATGAATGGTTTTTAGAGATTAATTTTATGTAATATTTCGCGACGGACACACATATATATATATATATATATATATATATATATATTTTGATTAGTATTTTGATTAGTCATCATTTGTCAATAAAAATCGAAACGTAATTTAATGTTGAAAAATAATAATTATAATTGTGGATAAAATCTTCTTAACATTTGCAATAATAAAATATTAGACAATTTTTGACTTGTATTAAGGTACTCTCTCACCTCTACTGACTGTCTGCCTGCGCAGGCAGGCGCAAGAAGAGTAAGGGAGGAAAAACATTTAATTTGAATTTTCTGACTCTCTTACTCTTATGTGTTACCATGACGACCTGCAGGCAGGCAGTAGAGCTGTGCGAGCGCCTTTAGACGGGTGGTCCAGGCAAATGCGAGTATTCCTAATTTTCAAGTCGTTCTGTAGGCGCAAAAAAAAATTTAGTATTAAGTAATTTAAGAATGTTTTTTAAGGAAAAATTTCTACGGTACGACAATCGAATGGTGTTTACACACTAAAAAAAGTTTTACTTTTAGCCTATTTTTGAGGCTGAATTTAAGGTGCAAACAGAGTCAGACTTTTTTCCTGTGTAATAATGTCTCATCTCTTATGCACCTCGTAATTATATCAAAAGGCTTTACCAAAATATTGTAAAAATTTAATTCATCGACAACTTTTGTTTTCTGCATATTTATTATCTGTAGTCGACATTCATTTTGAAATTCTTGAATTTTTGTTACATCTTTTCTTGAATTAAAATATTCAAGTATTCTTTTGTCCCTGGGTATTCGCTAATAATTCAAGACGTCCAATTATCAACTTTAAAAGTGCATTATCTTTGCCTCTTAAAACACTGGAATATACGTTCATGACTATAAATAAATAACTCCAATTATATACAGCAGAACCAATTTCGGTTAGGAGTCATTTAAAATCGTAGTATTCGCTAATAATTTCAAGAATAATTAAATTATTACGTTGCACTAACAGCAAATCTAGAACACATGCAACTAATTCTTTCCTCAAATAATTCAGAATGCATGTGACAATTGCAGTACAAAATTCCCATTTTTTCCCTCACTATATTTATAATCTCTTTATTGTCACTGATCGAAGTTTGATCATTCTCGTCAGAAATTCTTAAATTAATGACTTTATCCAATAAAACATTTACAATGAGCATGTCCTCTTCCTTGAGATCTCCGGCAATTAATAACATCTCTGTTATTTTAAATATACTTTGAAACATCGAAGGTGTAATTGTTGATCGTGTTTTACATAGTACATGTTCTAGTGTTGGCCCCTCTCTCTCTCTCTCTTTTTAGGGGGCTTAGCACCAGAGGCTAAGAGAAATTTAATCATCTTAAAATGTTTCGCAGCTGCTGCAAAATCCAATGGTACAATGCATTCATCTCTTGTTTCTGAGTTAATTCTTGCACCATGCTTCAGAAGAATTTCAACTAAACGTGTATGTTCGAAGGTAGCTGCAGTATGGAGAGGAGTTATATTGTCACGAAAACAACTGTCGACTGAGCAACCTGCTTCTAGAAGAATTTTTAAAATTTCCTCATTACCGCTTTGGGAACGGTCATAAACTACGTAGCACGTCTAGGGGGAGGGGGGGTCAAGCAATTGTCTACCATAAGAGGAAAAAATGGCGCTAATACATGTAATTGCGTCCACGTGGGGGGAGGGGGGGGGTTAAAATTTCCAAAAAATTGGTCTACGTAGTTTATGGACGTTTCCTTTCAACGGCAATGTCAACAGCGAATCGTCCCAATCCACCAGCTAGACTTCAGTTCTACTTTGCGAAGGATTTCTTTCACATTTTCGACTTGACTCGCACGTACAGCGGAATGAAGTTCAGTTTCCTGGGAGCATAATGAGCCTCTTGTAAATGATGAATGAAGTAGAGTATTTTTTAAATTTGTAGTAACATTTTGTTTTAAATCGAAATCAAGTAGACATTTCAAGATATATACATGACAATCTGTTGTGCAGTAATATATGAGAGGATTTTTTGTATCTATTTTTGATATATTTTCAAGCAGATATTTCACAATGTCTAAATGACGATTATCTAATGCCAAACGTAAAGGTTTTGAACATTCATAATTTTTTTTAAATATATTCGATTGTCAAATATATTCGACATTAATAATTTGACTATTTCTAAATTTCCAAATTTAGCAGCAATGTCCATTGATTTCCAGAAGCATGGACAATTTGATTCATTCACATTGACACTTTTTTTAAAAAGACGTTTGGCAATTTTAATACTTTGCCTTGCAACCGCGACATTAAGGATCTTTATGCTGTCTTTACTTGGAATATCCAGACAGGTACCATTTTCCAAAAGAAATTCGGCTACTTCAATTTTATTTTCGTGTAAGGCAATGAATAAAGGTGTTCCTCCTCCGGAATCCTTGACATTAATTGTAGCACCTTTTTCTATCAGCAAATCAACAATGTGTAGGTGGCCTCGTGCAACATTCTTCTGCTCAATACATTGTCTTCTAAATCAATTTCACTTAGTAGAATACTAAAGCGATTTAAATCACCATTGTGAACGGCAAGAAAAATACGATTCATCACTGTTCTTTTCATTTTCACTGACATAACCAAAGTCACAATAATACCACTCTCTTCGGTACATTTTTCATTTACAAAAACTATCTTTCAGTCCCGTTTATACACACTTAGCAATGTTAAATTCTACATAAATCTTGCCGCAACTTTTTCATGATATATAAAAGATTTGAATTTTATCCATTAAAGTATAACTGCACTTGTATTCGTCAATTATAATTTGTACTTTAAAGTAAAAATAGAATCTATTCACAATACATACCCAATTGTCCTGCAATTGTTGATTTTCCAAAATATTGTCGCCTTCAAAATGTGCTACACAGAGGAATCACTTTTAAACGCTTGTAAAATTGTAAAGTAATTCTAAAACAAATTTGCAATAATCTGTATTACTTTTTAACATTATTTAAAATCTAGCAAAAATTAGAATAAATCTAGAATTTTTACATAAAATTCGTAGGTATGTTTCCACTTTACAATTATTTTCTATTTCAAATTAAATAAGTAATAAAATAAAAATAAAACAATAAAATACCTATTTAGATGAATTTACAAGTACGAACTTCTCTGCTTCTAATGTAAAGAATGATTTAAACATTTATAGTACAATTTTGAGGTTAGGAAGCATTTGAGGATTGCTTTTGACGTTTTTATAGTATAGCTGAAATACACTTGGAACTTATTTTAAAATAAAAAAATTATTATTACTTGATGCAATAAATATTTAAAAATAAGAAAAGTATTATTTTTTCTTTAAGAAATAAACATCTTTTTTTTTGTTGGTTACATGGCTTGTTGCATAGCAGGTAGCCAAGGAAATAAACATCTACATATCACACTAATTGACTATAGTGATTGTTGATTAAAAGGATTAAAAGGATAAAAAGCAAACATTTTTCAAAACAAACATAAAGGTGCTTAAAGGTGCAGGCACAACACAGCTCGTTTTCTCGAGACTTCCCTAAAGGCCTAAGCACAATAGGTTCGCGAAAGTCATTCGCGAACGCAAAGCATGAGTTAGAAAAGGACAGAGATATATTTGTGTCCTTGTCTATCTCATGCGTCTCTTTCGCGAACGACTTTCACGAACCTATTGTGCGTTGGACTTAAAGGCCTTTCTCCAATAGAATCCCAAAAGTCTGCGTTGAATAAGGGTGCGATCACATGTGAGCAAATACGTCGACCAAAAGCAGAAAATGATGAGTGCAAAAGAGATAGGTAGGTATTGTTGTTCTTTTCATCAGGCACACTGTAAAAAAATCTGGTGTAAAATAACACGAAACTTGTAATTTCACACATCAAAATTATAGGTTGTACGTAGTAAATTTATTTCGTTCCAAAAGTAGTTTTACTATTTTTAATAATTTTACATTATACGACTATGTAATTTAATAGTTTTGTGTAAATTTACTACGTCCGACGTAGGAAAATTTGATCACTATGTCCGACGTGGTATTTTTACATTGCGTGTATTTCTACACTTTGACGTAATATTACGTCGCACGATCTGTACAATTACATGGCGAATGTAATTTTCTTATTCCTTTAAGATTTTCAAAAAATTTTCAAGTTTTTATAAATAACTCTAAAAAAGTGTATATAATGTACATTTATAGAAAGTATATGCTAATTTATAAGTAAATAATAATATAACAAAAAGTTTTGGGCTATATTTCATAAATACAAAAAGTTACGACTGAAAATATTATTTCAAAAAATATTTGCAGGTTATGTAGATTACAGTCGGCGTGTAAAAATACCACGTCGGACATAGTGACCAAACTTTCCAACGTCGGACATAGTAAATTTACAGCAGATTTTTTTACAGTGCAGGCATGAGGCAGCCAAGCTGTGACAGAAGTGTGGATTCCCCATGAGGTTCATATTGGAAACGCACTTTAATTGTGCAATTCTGCTGATGTACGTTCCCATTCCTGCTAGAGTGTAAATATAAATTATTTTGGCCTGTGTGGCATTGGGGTGCTACCCTCTGTACCAAAAACATAAGTTCGAATGCTCCTCATTATGCCGAATTTACAATTTAGAAATGACCAGATACGCGAATCCTCAATAACCTAAATTGTATATTGAATGAAATTCAAAAGTAGGGAATAATCATTTGATATATTCTGCATATGGAGAATATTATTTTAAACTAATTCTTTTTTTCCACAATTTGAAATTATTGCAATTTTTATTTTTGGAATTTCCACTTTACCTACATTTTAATAGATCGAAACGTAAAATATCAGAATTGACATTTAATTGAAATATGATGGAGAATAAATATATATTCACTGAATAAAAAGATTAAATAATTATTAAATGTTTGAATTTAATAAAAACATATTGTTCAAAAGTTACAGTGCGAATTGTACAGAATATATATTAATAAGAAATATAATTTGGCAGAATGTCGATTCGATCGATTTTATATTTGCAAGAAATTCAATTTGACAGAATATCAATTTATAAGAAACACGTTTTCGTAGAACTTTAACTTGTCAGAATTGTAATTTTGTAGAATATTAACTTAGATAAATATACTAGATGCGGCGAGGCGTTAGTTTAGGCACATGAATCCAGGGTGGCGTTAGTGTAGATCATGTGCCCACATGTGCCCTTCGTGTGCCTCTTATAATCGGACCAATCGGATTACTTCGTCAATCTTCGGTCTATTAAAGGCGGAAATGTTTGAAAATACTAACAAAGCGATCATTTCTCATTCAAATTTAAGATTAAAATTGTATACAATTTATAAAAAAAATTGTTGTTTTTCTTAACTATATATAATTAATTATAGTAAATTAAATTCTTTTATTTCGTTGTATATTTAAATGTGTGAATCCGGGAAAAAATAATGTTTTCGTGATCGCGTTCTCATCGTTCTCATTTAAAAAGAAATAAGAAAAGAATATTTTCAGTCAGGGTTTTTTGGTAAATATAGAGAAACGGTTTGATATCACGGTCTCATTTTGAGAGGATAAAATTTTGCGAGAAAATTATTTTATTAACGATCTCACTTTTGCCAAAAATCCAACTTTTGTTATTTTGTTTTTCAATATTTATTTCAAAAATTACTTGCAAATTCCGAGAATATTCTTTATCATCATGAATTCCCCTAATTATCATGATAAATCGGAACTAAGTATCTCTAATTATTTAGGAGTGAGATATGAAACGCGGGAAAACACTTTTTGGGGGCGATTTTTCCAAACAAATGTTTTTAAACATTTCTCAATCAACAATTTTCAAAAGAAAAATTTTACATTTTACATTGATTTAATTGATCGGTCAATTAATCGGTTATTTGAATCAAATACATTTTTTTCAGTGTAAAATTTTTTCAGACAGAAAATATTTGTTTAAAAATTTAAAAATTTTTGCATTATAGAAATTTTATTATCGTTTATTATAAAGTATTCCTCATTTTTCAAACTTTATGTATTTTTTTAGCCTTTCCTATTCTATTAAACAAAATTTTTAAATTAAAATTCAGAAATCTAAATGATTTCCTCTTCAGGAAGTCTATCCAAAAAAATATACAAAATTAAAATAATAATAAAAATTATATACATGATTAAAATAAAAATAATTTAACAATAAATAAATAAAATAAAAATTAATGGATAATTATCTTACCAAAAAAAAAATATAATTAAAATAGATGAAGACTTAAATTTTTATGCCCTGACGATGGAGTAGAGTCTCGAGTAAAAGAAAATTATAAAAAAATTAATATTCATCAAATAAATTTAAAAATAATTGAAAAAAATTGTTTAAATTTAAAATTGTGAAAAATAATAATCAATAATAAATTTAGTAAAAAGTTAATAACAAATTAAAAATTAATTAATAAAAAAAATTAAAATTTATGAAACATTAAAAATACAATTATGAAAATATTAATAATAAATAAAAATAATAAATAGCACATGCAAAATAAATAATAAAATACCATAAATAAATAAATAAATAACGGTTCACAATACAATAATTCATAATAAAATAAATTAATAAAATAAAAATATGTAATTTCTCAAATTAAGTAAAAATATAGCTACGTATTTCAAACTGCAACGTCAAATTTAAAACTGAGCTCCAAACTCTATCGAGTCATTACATTATAATGAACATTATAATTATCTATTGATTTTTATTTTATTTATTTTTAAATTATTTTTATTATTATTATTTATTTTTTTGCCTAGGGAATTTTGGGAAATCTGCCTACAGATACCTTGGATTCTACACTCCAAGGTTATGTGGGGTTATTTAACTAATTAAAAAAATTAATTAATAATTAATTTAATAATTAAATAAATTATTTTAATAATACATTTAATAACTAAATTAATTAATTTAATTAATAATTAAAAAATTTTGTTTCAATTAAAAAACTAATTAATAACTTTTTATTATATAAAGGAAATTAATTACAATTAATAATCAAAATATTTTATTTTATTTATAAGAAAGTTAATTAAAAATAATAATTAGGTTTTTTTATTTTCAATTAAAAGTTCTTTATTTTTAAAAATTTTATTTTAAAAAATTGATTTATTAGTTTTTATTGAAAAACACGTTGTTTTCAAAAAAAAAAGTAGTGATATTGGCGAGAAATGAAATTCTAGCCTTTCACGACTCAAAAAACGCGATTTCCAAGCGGTATCCTTGGAAACGGCGAAAAGTTGAAGAGGGCAGCACTAACATACACTGAAAATTTAGTATGCTATATATATCGGTAGTCCCCACCATCGACCCTCGCCGCATCTAGTATATTTATCTAAGATATTAATATTGGCAAATCTAATTTTGGTAGAAATCTGCTTTATCAGAATGATCACATGTTCGAATCCTCAAAAGTTAGAATTCCATTTTTACCGAAAATGGATTCCACATAAATATTTGGCGCAAATTTTAAAATCGACCAATCAGAAATCAGAATTTTAAAATTTGCGCCAAATATTTATGTGGAATCCATTTTCGGTAAAAATGGAATTCTAACTTTTGAGGATTCGAACATGTGATCATTCTGATAAAGCAGATTTCTACCAAAATTAGATTTGCCAATATTAATATTCTACAAAATTACAATTCTGACAAGTTAAAGTTCTACGAAAACGTGTTTCTTATAAATTGATATTCTGTCAAATTGAATTTCTTGCAAATATAAAATCGATCGAATCGACATTCTGCCAAATTATATTTCTTATTAATATATATTCTGTACAATTCGCACTGTAACTTTTGAACAATATGTTTTTATTAAATTCAAACATTTAATAATTATTTAATCTTTTTATTCAGTGAATATATATTTATTCTCCATCATATTTCAATTAAATGTCAATTCTGATATTTTACATTTCGATCTATTAAAATGTAGGTAAAGTGGAAATTCCAAAAATAAAAATTGCAATAATTTCAAATTGTGGAAAAAAAGAATTAGTTTAAAATAATATTCTCCATATGCAGAATATATCAAATGATTATTCCCTACTTTTGAATTTCATTCAATATACAATTTAGGTTATTGAGGATTCGCGTATCTGGTCATTTCTAAATTGTAAATTCGGCATAATGAGCATTCGAACTTATGTTTTTGGTACAGAGAGTAGCACCCCTGTGGCATTGCGGCATGGAGGCACGTGCATTCTGTGGATTGGTTGTTGTTGTTTATCAAACTTTTCTAAATAAATGATAATATAAAAATTAAAGGTACGTATGTGCAGTAACAACAAAGCTCTATTACTTTATTCCTAATCATTAAATACAACAGTTTTCTATCTTTCTTAATTTCTTTTTGTGAATAACTTGTTGTCCAGGTAGACATAATGTTTATGCTTTGTAATTGACTTTGTGAAAGAAAATTATTATTATTTTTGACTTTAATTCTGCATTGTATTCTTTGCAAATGAAATAAGCACCGTGCTTTCTGTAATGAATTTGTTTTTAAAATTTCAGATGTTGATTTCTTTGTTTATACTTCCTCTACTACTTTTAAGACTAGAACCAATTAAAGCAGATAGGAAAATCAATAAATATGTAACTACACTAATCAACGCTAAATGGAATGACACTCCTCTTGTTCTTGAGGTAGCTGAGTATCTGAACGATGAAAACGCAAATTATTTCTGGAGATTTGTCGATGCAGTGACCGAAAACGAAAATGGACTTCAGAGTGATGGTTAGTTTCTATTCACATTTAAGTTGTTTACTTACTATTTTTATACTTGGTGGATATTTTGCTAGGCTTATGTTTCAAACTTATGTTTTCATTAAAAATTTGAAAAGTTTTATACGTTTCCAAAACAGCTTCATCTCCTGTCTCTTTAAGGCACTAATAGATAAAATCACGATAAATCCTCAGATCATAATTATTGGGTGAATTTTTAAAAGAGATATAAATAAATGCAAAAAGAATATCTCACTTTTCCCAATAAGAAATATCGGTTTCTAAGGGTTTTATCGGTTATTTAATCTAATAAATCCAGGAAAACGTTATAACCAAAAATGTATCATTGAAAATATTTTCTTTGTTCGAGATACAACTTAAAGTCATTAACAGTGAATGTTTTTATGAACAGTCAAAGCTTTATTTTAGATTTTAATTTTTATTAATTTTCAATAAAATTTTAATAATTTTTTAAAGAGATCTTGAAGTTAATCTGCGGTGTTACTTTTAAGTGATTCCTTGCTTTAAAATATTTAAAATCATAATATTCAATTTTTAAACACGTTTCGATTCTAAAGTTAATTTGCGTCAACGTAAACATTGTTAACTTCAGTTTCATAAGAAAAGTTAATCTAATGCCATGATTGCTTATGTTGTATGAAAAAGATAAATTAATAAACAACTTTCTATCAATAATTTAAGTAACATAATCTAATATTTTACAAATATTTCTGACTGACAAAAAATTTAAATTTAAATTGTTGAAAATTAAATTCTTTATTCTTTTATATGATATGCGAGTAAATAAATATCTAATGAATCATTATAAAGTTTTCATATTAGCTTATCTAAAAAAAATTTGTTATATTTATGAATAATATTGTTAGTTGTAATGTTAAAGATTTTTGCAATTTAATTTCAGGAACTGAAAAAGACCAATATGAAGCAGCGATTCAATTGGCTGCCCAATTTCTTTCGTCTGCCGAAATGGCAGTACTTAAATTGGGCCTATCATTGCGAATTTATTCGGCTCGTGTTGAAATGTTCCATCAAATGGCTGAAAATAAGAATGATCTCAATTTGAACTGCGATGCTTTTGTGGATGTTGGAGGGAAATTAACATGCTCCCTAGAAAATTTGGAAGAGTTGTTACAAAAGGTTTGAAAATTTTTGTTTTATTTAATTTTTTTCTAAAAAGGAATTATAAATTTTTGTATATTCACATGCATTGTACCCCACAATTTGCAAATTGTCCATTTAGTCCCAAATTTTCATTTTATTTTCTACATATTTGCACTATTTTAAAAGTTTAATGAATTGTGGAATAAATCTTATGTGTGGGGAGAGTCGAGCAAGTTCTCCCAAAAAATTAAAAATAAAAAAGTTATTTATTGTTAGTTTGTTAGCAAACAAAGCATTTTATATACTAAACAGACAACCTTCGAATAATTTATTAATGAAAGCATTGATTAAATTCCAATGAAAGTATTGATGATAATACTGTCGAAATAGTCTGAGGTGCGGGTAAGTTCGCCTGTGTCGGAGTATAAGTTCGTATAATATGCATAAGATTTATCCTACATAAATTTTTCAAGTTTGGGACTAAGTGGCTTAAATTTGACGAATTATTTGATTAAACAAAATTTACTTTATAGGATGAATGGGAACACATAGATACTTATAGCATAGATCACTTTTACTCAGGAAAACAAAATACAAACAAATGCATTGTTTTATACGGACAGTTGGGAACTGAAAACTTTGCTAAGTTTCACAAGGCTTTGAAATCTATTGCTGACAAGCAGAAAATTAATTATGTTATTCGTCACTATGCAAAGGTAAATTAATTTTTAACTGTTTTTCAGAAAAAGGTTTATTTATGTGTAGAAAAACAACTGGAGCCTCAATCAGGGCACAATCGGTCAAAATTCCTGGTCGCGACCGTAAAAAATTTTAACAGAGGTTTGATGTTTTTTTAGTAAAACATGATTTAATGAAAGTATTAATTTAAAAATAATAAAAATTTAAAAGATTGCTCTTAAGGGAGACCCTCTAGTTGTAACGTGAAAAAAAGCTTTTTTCAAAAAATGTTTTCTAATAATTTATTAAATTTTTTTAAATATTATTTATTATCTAAAAGTACATGTCTAGAGCTTTAATTTAAAACAAATTTTTTTTATCAAGAACTTTATGTATAAGACGTTTTCGCGAAAACCATCAAGTCCCGCAATCACCAGCATTCCGCAAGTATAGTTTATTTGAAATGTAAAAATGAAATTGATTAACATTTATTATAAGATTATCTAGTTCCTAATCAAAAGATTTAAAAAATATACATATTTAGGTAAATGGCGAAAAGTCAAAGTTAAGAGTATGATTTTCGACTTTATACAAATAAAAATACTGCATTGAATGCACGGAAAGATAATACTTATCTAAAATTATATTATAATATTATTATACTCGACACTTTTTAGTTTGAAAATCTGATATCAGATTCGTAATCAGAGACTCTAAAAACTCCGGAATCAAAATTTTTAAGCGAATCCGTTAAGTTGTTTTAAATTCAGTCGCCATATTGGTTCCGCCATTTTCAATTAGCTTATACGCGCTAATGAATCAGTGTAGCTTCACTATTTCTTCGAAAGTTGCAACTGATGAACGCCCCTTGATTGTAATTACTGTTAAATAAGTTTTTTATTTATCATAAATAATCTGTTACTTTTATTTTGTTATAATAATTAAAAATCTGATGACTCTATTCTCGTGATCGTGTTCCAACCAGGATCGGTTAAACGTATGGAAATTTCTACACGGCATAAATGAAAAGTTAATTTAATGTTTTCAAGTATTAGAATTGCTTAAAATTAATTTAAAAATTTATATCTCCAAATTCCTTAATAAATATAGAATAGGCCGGATAGAAAGCTTCGATTGTCTGGATATGGAGTGGAGCTACAAATGAAATCTACGGAATATAAAGCAACAGATGATTCCGATATTAAGGAGAATAGGAAGGAAGAATCAGAAGAAGGAAATAAAGGCGTTGAGGAGTTGGATGGAATCAATTTTTCCATTTTAAAGTAAGTATCATAAAATGTTCTTATTTATTAAAAATATTAATCTATTTCTACCTTATAAAACTCATGTGATATCGAATAGAATTTCGAATACCGAAAAAATCAAGTTCTGAATTAATTCCACAGGTTTATCAGAAAAACATGTAACGTGAAATGAAAAAATCCCCTTAAATTTATCGATGAGACTCGGCGACATGATATGTAACACTGGTTTACAGTGAAATTGTCACTCGAACAAAACATATTTTTTTTCGCTTAGTAGGTGTTTTTTGAGTAAGAAAATCGTAGTTTCAATTTTTTTCATTTTCGAGGCACGAAATCACTTAAACTTACCTGTAGGAATATCAGCTTATCAAAATATAATGATTAACTGCCGTTGGAAAGGTAATTAAGGACTAATTCCACCAACCTCAATTAATAGTTAATCAATGATTGAATAATTGAGGATTTAAGCATTGATTAACTTTCAATCGGTATTGGTAAAACTGGTCCTAAATTACCTTTCGAACCATCGGTCAAAGAATAAAATTCAATGAAAATTGAAAGAGTTACAGTCGATTAAAGATAAAATTTTATGACAATTTTCATGATTTTTAGACACTCGAGTAACTTCTACTAATTTTTTCCACATCCAGCAGTAAAAGATGTTTGGGTTTTAAATTTTGTATTAATAGTCTATTTCATTATATTATGAAAATTTGGATCCCTTGTTAACCCGGATTGGATGCAAAATGATAATTCTACACTAGATTTAGTGAACGAAACTACTTTTACATTTTTAGTATCCCTCGAGGTATTCCCTCAACATTTGCAGCAAAATTGCAAACAGTGTGTGATTAACCATATTTTTTTCTCAGTCCTTGCTGGCCCCCCTGTAAAAGTCATAATAAGTGATAATAAGCCTGAAGATAAAATGAGATAAAGACTGTAAAACTAATTGTATTCTCGGTCTGATATTTCTCAAAATACATGGGAAAACACAAAAGAAATTTAATTTAATCGAATTTATTTTTATATAATATTGAACCAGTAACTTTTAAACAATTTACAAAATTTAATTAACTTGAGAAAAAAGAGAAATGTGTACAAACATAGAATATTTTTCATTTAATTTCCAACACATTAAATGAAAATGAGAATTTGTAATAAATTTCTAGAAAACTTTATGCGGATAAACAGGAGGAATTAGAGAAGCTGCAAAATCATCTTTTAGACACTAGCCATGAAATCGGTGCCCTTAAGGTTTGGCAGTTTCAGGATTTAAGTCATCAGGCGGCAGAAAGAATAATGAATTCCCCGTCGAATGAAGCCATTCAAATTCTATTAGATATTGCTCAAAATTTTCCAATGCAGGTTCGATTCTCAATTACATTTTTTACTGGGAACATTATGTGCAAAAACATTTTCCAAATCTGAACATTTTAGGCAAAGTCGCTGATAAAAACAAAAGTGAATGCTGACATGAAAATGGAAATGAACTTGAATCAGCAAAATTTTTCAGCAACTTTAAATATTCAACCAACTGATACAGCCATATTTATTAATGGCTTGTTCTTTGATCTTGAAACAATTGATATTCTTACTCTCCTAGAATGTTTGAGAGCTGAACTTAGAGTCATGGAGCCTCTTTATAGAATTGGTAATTTTCTATTTAATAAAGTAGTTTTTTACGTGTTGCATTCGTTTTCAATTAATATTACAAGGCTCGGACTAGGTCTGTAAATCCTGTAAAAGTCAATTTTTTTTCAAAAAGGTCCGTAAAGTCCGTAATTTCATTGAGAAAGCAAGAAAAGTTGGTAAATTGAACGATATAATTTGGAGAATTTTTGAGAATCCAATTATTTTCAAAAAATTTCAAGAAAATTTAAGAATTAAATGTTTAATTCCAATTACTAAAAAACGATATTTTCGTAAATTATATAATAAAATTCTTTTTAGGAATTCAATTATTTTCATAAATAATAAAATTTTCACAGGGATTTAATTATTTTCAAACACAATTTTCATAAAATTTTTCGAAATAAATCAATTATTTAAAATGATTTTTATAAAATTCTTCGCTAGAATTCAAATATTTAAAAAATTATTTACAAATTTTTTATAAATTTCTTCGCCATAATTTCATTATTTTCTTAAATAATAATATTTTTTAAAAAGATTCAATTGTTTTTAGAAATAATAAAATTCTTTTTAAGAATTCAATTCTTTTCATAAATAAGTAATAAGACTCATTGCAGAATTTCAATTATTTTTAATACAATTTTAGTTAAAAATTGTAGAAAATAATAATTGAATTGAAATGCTGAAAATAAATTTTTGAAGAAAAAAAATTGAATTTCTAGTTTTAAGTAAAATGTTCTTTTATTTGACTCGGACTGGTTATATTATATTTTTGTCAGTAATTGGTCCGTAAAGTCCGTATTGTTAAATACTTGAACTTGTTGGAGCCTTGATATTATTGTTAATATTTTTGAACCACTAGATTACAAATAAAAGTAGCTTAATTTCGTTCTAGTTTTTTAGTTACCACGAAACTAAATGAACAATTAACCGGTTTTAGTTTTGTGTTAAATCAAAACTAAATTAAGAAATAAGCGAAAAAAATAAAAATCTGTTGAGATGTAAGTGACACGAAACCATATTCACGTGTCACTAATTTTGAGTTTCATTTTAGTATCTGTCCTTGAAAACTACATTACGATTACATTACGATAGCATTGCATTTTTTTAGGTTTTAGTAATAAGAAAATTCAGAAGCTTTTATACTTGGATTCATCTACTGATGCGGACAACCAGGACTTTGCAATAGACATAAGAGATTCAGCCATCATCTGGGTAAACGACATTGAAAAAGACTCTCAGTACAGAAGATGGCCAGAATTTCTCACTGAACTTCTGCGTCCAACTTTTCCTGGAATGTTGAGGAGTATTCGTCGTAATTTATACAATTTAGTTTTAATAATTGACCCTCTGAACTCGGATTCAATGGCTCTGTTTTCCCTCGTTGAATCCCTTTATGCACATTACACTCCTCTTCGAATCGGTTTTGTTTTTGTCATAAATTACAACACTTCAATCACTGGACTCCAAGATCCCAGCATTGCAGTGAATAATGCCTTTCATTACTTTGTCGAGAGCCAGAAGAAACCCAAAGAGGCTTTATACTTTTTATCCAATGTAAGTACACTAAGAACTAATTACCAATTGAAAAGAATGTTTTATAATTGCGCATGTGAATTACAGTTGAGAAACTTCATTGGGCCTGATGGAGCAACAGTTGATGACATTAAGAAAGCAATAAAGGACAGAGACCCGAAAGCAGACGTTAATTATATTCTAAGTGAAGAATCTGAGTATGATGTAGGTCGACATTTAGCTTGTGACTTTGTGAAGCGCACGGGATTCAAGACATTTCCTCAGGCATTACTGAACGGAGTGCCTCTTTCCTCGAGCCAATTGCACTCCGACTCCTTCGAAGATGCCGTTCTGTCTACTGTGATGACTCAGACACCGTCGATTCAGAAAGCGGTGTACAAACGCGAAGTGACTGATAGAGATGATATAGTGGAATACTTGATGAATTTACCGAATGTGATGCCGAGATTAAATGAACGAGTGCTCAAGATGGACAAGGACATGTGGATGCAGCTGAATGGAAATGTTCCCAAGGACAAGGAGTTTACAAAATGGAGCAAAGAAGATTCCTCTGCTTGGGTTATGGAGAACTCGCGATATCTTTACGTTTCGCGGAAGAGTACCACTCGTCATTTGTATTCTTTGTGGATTGTTCTTGACCTCGAAGAGGCAGACAGTAGAAAGCTGCTCGCCGAAACACTCGAGTATTTGGTATGCAGTTTCATTAATTAATACAAAACGTGTCTATGTTTAAACGTAATTTACCAACATTTCTTTGCTCATATTCAACAGGAAGGCAATGCGTATGCGAGAGCTTCAATAATAGTAAATAGTGCTCGTAAGGATTTATCGAAATCTTCTATTAATGCAATAGCAGTTGCCGCTATGAATGTTCTGCCTCCAGAAAAGGCAATAAACTTCTTAAGGAATTTAATCAAAGATGAAGTTGTAGCTCAAATTGAAAACAATAATTATGAGATAGAGGTAATGCTTAGAAAACTTTACTTTTTTACAGTTACAGGCTTCGTACTCATCTACTAAAACAAACTATTTTTGTTTTTTTAGAATTTCCACTACATTAAAATTCGCTAATACTAGAAATCAAAAAACTATTCTCAAAAATTATAATCAAATTCTTTAAACCGATTCAATTCCTTTAAAAAAATATTCGAAATTCAATTATTTTCAATATCTAGTAATTTTATTTTTATAAATATTTAAATTCTTTCATGAATAATGAAATTCGTTGCAGGGATTCAATTTATTAGCAAGATAGGAAAAAAGTAAATTTTTTTGATAAAAATTAAGAAAAAGTCAGAAAAATAAAATATAGAATGGTATTTTTGTCAGTTTTTTAAGTGTTTAAAACGAGTTTTTTTTGTCGTCAAGTTTAATTTTCCGACAGCTACTTTTTGCTACTTTTTTAAAACTAATTATTGAGTGCGAAGTCTGCAGTCATGAAATTTTATTTATCTAATCCTTGTACTTGTTTACAGGATGAATCAATTTTAAATATGTTAAACGATGTGGAACTTTTGTGGGGCATTAATAACGTACATAGTCATTATGCACGAAACGTGTTGAGAGTTTCTTCAAGTCAAAGAGCGGTCATTTGTAACGGTCGATTAATTGGCCCATTTGACGAAAATGAGGAATTCACAACTGAAGATTTTTCTCTGTTGGAAAGATACAGTCAAAATACTTATGGCGATAAACTATTTAATATTTTGATGAAAAACAATTTTCTTGAAGAAGACGATGACGATTATGGTAATATACAATTTATATATCTAATTTGTTTCAAAGTATCATGAAAATGGGTTCTCAATTTTTTATTCTTAACAGTATGCAAACCTATCCCAATGAATAAATTATTATTTTTTAAAGGAAAAAATGAAGTGACAGATGATGTGATAATGAAAATTTCATCTCTTCTTGTATCAAGACCACAAACACGAAGTCGATACGATGTACTGTTTAATGGCGATGAGCACAGGTAAATAATAAAATGATCTTTATTTTTTATCTTAAATGAAACAATTACTTGGCTTTATTGCCATTTAAAAAAACGAAATGTTGGACGGTAATAAATTAATAACTTAATCTGAAAATATTTTTCGAATATTTTACAAAATTAAAACAAAGTCATAAAAGTTTAATCTAGACATTGAAGTCTTAAAATTGTCCTTAAAGTTGTTTAATTAACCCTCTCACTGAAAAACTATTTATTTTAATTTTTAGTGCCATAAAGATTTCAGCGCCGATACCAGACGAGGTAGCTTTCAACATAGTCGGCATAGTTGATCCAGTTTCAAGAGGAGCTCAAAAGTTAGGTCCCATTTTAGATGCATTAAAGAAGTCTCTAAATTGCAACATAAAAATATTCTTGAATTGCTTGGACAAAAACAGTGATATGCCACTCAAAAGGTTAGTTCAAAAATATCTTTAAATATTTCTCAAAATCTCAAAACTGTTACAAAATATAACTTTCTACTCAAATGCCAAACTGAAATGTATAAAAACTAAGTAAAATTTAAAAAATTTATGTTGAAAACTTGTTTCCAAGTTTTCGTAATAACTTTAAAATAAATGATTACAAGCTGCTTTCAAATTCAATAACAAAGAAATTAAAATATAAAAAAACACAAAAATTGTTTTAATGTAAATAAGAAGAGTGCTGTGAAAGGTACTGAGAAGCTGAGAAGAAATTATAATTTTTGTATTTTAAATAGAGCTGTGCAAAATAATTCGAACCGAACTGTTCGAATTTTTTCGCCCAGTTCGAATGTCGAATATTCGACATTCGAACTATCCCAGTACGGATGTCGAATATTCGACATTCGAGTTACTACAAAATTCGAACCGAACCGAGTTTTGTTCGGTTTTGGTACGCTAAAATGTCGAATTCTAAAATTCGACATTTCAGTCGCCCAGTTCGAATGTCGAATATTCGACATTCGACATTTCGGCGCCCCAAAACCGAACTAAACTCGGTTCGGTTCGAATTTTGCACAGCTCTAATTTTAAAAGTTGTTTAAAAAAAGTTTTTTAAAGTTGCAACGGTTGTTATTGCAACCATTAACATAGTAACGGTCACCATGGCAACGATTGTTATGTTGTCTTAAGACTTAAGACTTTTAAGACATATGACATAAGACATAAGACTTAAGACTTAGGACTTAAGACCTTCTTATACCAAAGTCTCGCTATAAGACTTAAGACTTATTACATAAGACTTAAGACGTAAAAACTACGGACGGACACCGAAGTCTCGCTATAAGGGTTTTGGCCCTTGGCCACGAAACCCTAAAAAAGAAACTGGGTGAGGGAAATTCTCACCATGCGACGGATAGAGGGTTAATCTCAAATAATGCAAAGATTTTTTTAAACAAAACACAAACGTGTCCTATGAACGAGAAAAACATTTCCCATTTTAAATTATGGCATAAAAATTACGTATTTTTGAAATATTATTATTATTAATTATGTTGATTATGTTTCTTGTTAAACTGGTAAAATTTCAATTCTGCGATTTATGTTTTTCTAATAACACAGCCTTGATTCGCTTGAAATTTAGTATACAGGGATTTTTGGAATCGTTAATCTTACATTAAGTCGAATTTCTGAAATGTTTCGAACAAATTGTTCGTTGTTTTCCATAGTTCTCAAGCCTTTTCGTAACTCTTTGTTCATAATCATGATTCTTATGATTCCCAAGATAATTTTCAACCACATCCTTAAAATTTACCCATGTCGCTTTTTTCGTATTTATCACTTTAGTTACGAAAAATCTATCATATTGAATTCACTATTGTAAATTTCAAAAATTTGCCTTAAAATTTGTAATCGGCTACCTCACAAAACCTTAAGTACTTAATTTTAAGCAAATCCAATTAGATTTTGAATTTTTAAAAACTAACACTAGATTTGAAATCAGCAAAGCATCTAATCAGATACTTTCACTCTTTGCTTCTCGTAGCAAATTAAATTAGAAAACTCTTTTTAACTTTCAGCTTTTATCGCTTCGTCCTGGAACCGGAAATTCAGTTTGGTGCAGATGGAGAAATGAAAGGGGCTGTGGCTACATTTACCAAGTTACCGACTTCTTCACTTTTAACTCAACATATTCATGCACCAGAAAATTGGCTTGTAGAAGTTGTTCGCAGTGTTTACGATTTGGACAACATTAAACTGGACAATGTTGCAATGGGCGTACACAGGTAAGTGATTCAACTTTAGTCTTATTAGGTTTAGTGTTATAAAAGTCTTATTCAAAAAATAATTTATCATCGTGTCATTGCAGTGAATTCGAGTTGGAACATTTGCTTCTTGAAGGGCATTGCTTCGAAGCAGCAGTAGGAAACACTCCCCGGGGTTTGCAAATAAATTTAGGCACAGAAAGAATTCCAACGATGGTGGACACAATTGTGATGGCGAATTTAGGATATTTCCAATTGAAAGCCAATCCTGGTGAATGGCGCTTGCGCCTCAGACAGGGAAGATCTTCTGACATATATGACATAGTAACTGTCGATGGTCAAGATATTATTCATAAGGAAAATGAAGTTAAAGTTCTCTTGAGTTCTCTCAGGAGTCATGTTCTCAAACTGAAAGTTTCAAAGAAACCGGACAAAGCTAAAATGGACTTACTTTCGGATGATGATAATAATTCTGGAATTTGGAACTCTATTTCCAGGTAATCAAGTATTTTTTTATTTTTTTCGAGAAAGTACATAATAGAAAAAACTTTGCGTAACTCACTTTCACACAATGTTACGCTGTTTTAGTAACATACCGGTGTCAATTATACAATAAATTATTTTTCAAATATTTTTTTTATTTTATTCGATTTTCATAAAGATTGAATTGATTGAACCTACAAATCAAAATGTGTAATCTAATAGTTAATAATTCCTGTAGAAATATTTAATTCAAAATTGAAAAAAGTTTGCAGTTTTATATTATTATCAGTTTTTTTATCAGAAGAACAATAGTTATTTGTGCAACAAGGGCGCATTTGTAGGTGGTTGGTGGGGGCATATTTTTAATGGAAAATTTAATTTAACGCAAAAATATTTACTAACTTGTCTGTCATGTTTTTTCTCAGGACATTTACAAATGAGGAGAGTGAAGAACAAGATGAAAAAATTAACATTTTTTCTCTCGCATCTGGACATTTATATGAACGTTTTTTGAAAATCATGATGTTGAGTGTTATTAAACACACAAAGACGCCTGTCAAATTTTGGTTTCTCAAAAACTATCTGTCCCCTACTTTAAAAGTAAGTATTAATTAAATTGTTATTTTCAACTTCGAAATACGCAATGCATAAATCGATTTAATGAAGATTTATAAGAAATAAGAACTCCATGGTTTTCTTATAATTTTGCATTTAACTGTTCAAGAGATAAAGTAAAGCTCCAATTTTCCCAATATTGAACTGTAGATCTAGTAAAAATACCATCTCGATTAACACAAAATAAGAAAATGTGCAAAAAATCGCTAACAAATTAATACATACCCTTAAATCAAATAATTACTGCAAGTAGCGAAATTTCCTCATAATTTCAAATAATTTTCTGTAAGCTTCTAGCATAATTGGGTTTATTAATATCTGTGTACGGCAAAATTATAATGTATTGCATTTAATTTAAAAATTAACTTGCATACAATTGCACGGGACAAAAGTACCTGAAATTTCCATTGACTCAGTGCTTGACTTCTGGATAGGTCCTAAAGTCCTAAAAGAATTCTAACATTTTAATTGGTAACTAAGACACAGTACTAGAAAATTTCTAGTACCTTGCATGTCAAAGAAATGGTTATTTCTGTAAAAAGAAAACCCTATTCAAAAGTCAAGCATAATTTCACATTCTCTTTTTCCGCGTAGTATATGAGGCATTCCATTTCAAAACGACCCCCTTCGTAAACAATTGCCAATGTAAGACAATTTTTAAATGAATATTTCTTCCATTCTGTAGAACCAAATTACTTTTTATATTAGTGATTTCGAAAGTAGAATTTCTGAACTTTCTGATAATAAAAAAATATATTTTTTTAATAATTTAATTTAAATAGAAAATTGAGTTTAAAAGTTAAACTTTGAAAAATCTCAAAACACGTTACCTCCGATTTTAATAAAATTCATATCAAACGAAAGCTTGAATATTCTTCTTTTTATTTATCAAACGATAATAATGGACATTTCAGTGGATTTTGAGAAAATAATTAAATTTCACAAACATTTCGAAGGTTATATTGAGAAAAGCATTTATTAAGTATAGGGCGGCATTTGTTTTTCCCAATTTATGCATAATAACCTTCGAAATGTTTGTGAAATTTAATTATTTTCTCAAAATCCACTGAAATGTCCATTATTATCGTTTGATAAATAAAAAGAAGAATATTCAAGCTTTCGTTTGATATGAATTTTATTAAAATCGGAGGTAACGTGTTTTGAGATTTTTCAAAGTTTAACTTTTAAACTCAATTTTCTATTTAAATTAAATTATTAAAAAAATATATTTTTTTATTATCAGAAAGTTCAGAAATTCTACTTTCGAAATCACTAATATAAAAAGTAATTTGGTTCTACAGAATGGAAGAAATATTCATTTAAAAATTGTCTTACATTGGCAATTGTTTACGAAGGGGGTCGTTTTGAAATGGAATGCCTCATATATTAATTTCTATGGGTGCAGTTTATTCAGTTTTTTTGTTTTTTCAAAAGGCAGATACAAGATGTCTTCAATAGAATTAATTTTTTCAGGATTTTCTTCCTGAAATGTCAAAAGCTTATGGATTTGAGTATGAACTTGTACAATACAAATGGCCTCGTTGGCTTCACCAACAAACAGAAAAACAAAGAACTATCTGGGGTTACAAGATATTGTTCTTAGATGTCCTGTTTCCTCTTGATGTGAAAAAAATCATTTTCGTAGACGCTGATCAGGTATTTGAAATAATGTTTGATTATTGAAAAACACTAATTTTTTAAATGTATGAAAATAAATGATTGCTTTTGGTTTAATTTTAATGCATTTTTGAAATTTGAAAATGAAATTATTCTTGAGATCTAAAAAGAATAATTATTATTATTGTCTGTTTAAGGTTGTCAGAGCAGACTTGAAAGAACTTGTGAATATAGATTTAGGGGGATCTCCGTACGCTTACACTCCGTTCTGCGACAGCAGGAAAGAAATGGAAGGCTTTCGATTTTGGAAGCATGGTTATTGGAGGACTCACCTTCAAGGTCGCTCTTACCACATTAGTGCTTTGTATGTTGTCGACTTGAAACGTTTTCGTCGAATTGCAGCCGGAGATAGGTTAAGAGGACAGTACCAAGCTCTAAGTCAGGATCCTAACAGTCTTTCTAATTTGGATCAGGTTAATCTCTAACGCATTCTAACACTAAGTTTATTTTAATTTTCATAAATCCTAATACTTAAATGCTTTTTACAAACAGGATCTTCCAAACAACATGATTCACCAAGTTTCTATAAAATCACTACCTCAAGAGTGGCTGTGGTGTGAAACTTGGTGCGACGATTCATCAAAGAAACATGCCAAGACTATTGATTTGGTAAGAAACATTTCATTTTTACTGTACAAAATGTAATAAAATCATCTATCCGTATTTTGAAATTTTGACATTTTTAGCGATGTAAATGGTATTTCAGTAATGTGGTTGGTATATTTATCATATTAATATCTCTAAATGTACACAAGAGTTTTTAAAAACCTTTAGAAAAAAATGTTTTTTGACTTTATCAAAAAGTCGATTGGTTTATACAAACTACAAATTGTATTAAAATTTTATTAGCGTAAATTTAGTTAATCATTTTTATTGTTGCCTAAGCATTAAGCTAAATGTGTTAAGCGAGGTATTTTAGAATATCCAAAATCAAGTTCGCTACTCTTTACTGCATCCATTTCCATTGGCAATGAGAAAGTTTTGGATTTCTGTGATTTTAAGGTTTTTCCAATTTCTGTGAGTCTCTACCATCAGTAACTTCCTGAAACCAAAAGTAATTTGTGCACATTCTCATCGTGTAATATAAAATAAAATGTAACAAGCATTTGAAAATCTTATAAAATTATAAACATTTTTTGAGGGCTAAAGAACGATAAATCTCTACAAGTTCACAAAAATTTTGTGGAGTTTACTAGAAGGATCAAAGCTCAATTTATAAAAGTGTATACATTTTCATCCTAAATTTGTCAAAAATTCAAATGATTTTAATTATTTTTCAAAATCACATCTATACGCAAAGATTAATTTGTTTTTATTTTTCTAGTGCAATAATCCAATGACCAAGGAAGCTAAGTTACAGGCAGCTATGCGAATTTTACCAGAATGGGTTGGTTACGATGAGGAAATAAAAGCATTGCAACAAAAAATAGAAAATGCTTCTGTAGAAAGTGAAAGCGTGAAAGATGGTAAGAAAATTAGTACCTACCTACAATTTTAAAATACAAATAAAATTATTAACTTAAACATACTAAAAAATAATTATTTTCGAGTCAAGGGCAAAAAATAGGTGATTGTGACGAAGGCGAAATGAAGGGACCGAAGGTGTCGAGGTCCCTTCATCTCACCTTCGTCGGAATAAACTTTTGCGCCCATGTTGCGAACATAATTTTTTGCCCTACCTGCACGAAAAGTATGTCAATTAGGGACTCAACTTTTCTGAGTAATACAAATAAAAACACAGAAAACGCATTTGGATGTACATTGGCATTGGGAATTTAAATAGTTGAGTTGCTTGACGAGTTGTCACCGTATCCGTACGTAGGACTTTTTCTTATTTTGCGCCAACTTTATTAAAGAAAAGTAAAAAGTAAAAGTACTTTTACGCCCGTCTTAAGTGGCCGAAATAACACACTTTTCGTTCAGGCCCGGTAAACTTTTGGCCAGAGCCAGCTGCGCGACTAATACCTTAAAAAATCTTAATTTGGTAATGTATTGTTTAAAATGGGTATCGATGCCGAAACGAAACTAAAACTTTACTTTCATGTCGATCAGAAACTAAAGTTTGGAAAACTCAAATATTTAGTATCAGTCACAAAACTCATTACAAAAAAGTTAAGTATTTGAAGATGTAATACACGTTAAAGTCGTATTCACTTTTTCCATTTGATTATTCGATTGAGTCAGTAAAGTCAGATTTGAATGCACTGACTCTCTTGCTCTTATATATTACCATAACAACTCTTGCAGGCTAAAAGTTAATTTTTCTGTACCTATTTGTATTTGTACAACACCTTTATTAACAGCATCAGTAGGAGCAATCTTAAAGAGTTGCATAAATCTTTTAAAGGTTTATGCCCCAGTGAAAAAATAAGATTTTAAAAGTTTTAAACCTAAAACTGAAGAGTTTGAAACGAAAACGTAAAATTAGTGCTCTCAGGAGGAAAGATATATATTTTAGCCAAAAGTTACACTTTAGAATTTCCCACATAATTATCAACACTGGGTAGCACAATCTATTTGCAATCCTCCACAAGTAGAGTGCTACTTCAGTGCACGCATGACTTAAAACCAAACCACGATTTGCAAACGGCGTATATAAAAAATAGTATTGAAACGATTAACTTTAAACAGTAGGTTCAAGTTGACCGCTCTAATCTTACAAGAATGGAAAAATGTACCGAAGAGTTTGTTGAGCATCTAGTACAAAAGCAAAAAATTAATTTTACATAGCTTTATTGCGAGAGAGCAAAATAAATTTCTCGAAGAAATTAAAAATTCATTACATGAAGGAGAATTTTTAGTCATTTGCGATTTCGCTAAAAATTATTCTTTTCTCATTCGAGATTGTACTCAAAGCTATCACTGGACTAGTAGTCAAGCTACTTTTTATCCGTTTGTAGATTACTATAAAAATTCTGAACTTGAAATATTTCCGTTTCACGAACTGATATACTAATCAAACGTTTTTCAACAATACAAAAAGCATAAAACAAGATATAATGTTAAAAGCTTAAAGCTTTTAACCCTGTCCAGTAACATTTAATTACATTAATTTTTTTAATTCAAAAAAATTATTCCTATACATATGTATTGCTAAAGCAGTAGAGTCGAATAAGAAATAGGAATTGCAATTGATTTTTCATAATACAGTACCTACCGTTGTATTCATGACGCGACATCGGATTCGTTTTAAAAGCGCAAAGCGGGACATTTTTTTTTCTTAAAATTATTGCCCTCCCATCATGAAATTTACACGAGTTATTCTTATTGTTTATAATGTTAAAAATAACTCGTGTAAATTTCATGATGGGAGGGCAATAACTTTAAGAGAAGAAGAATAAAATGTCCCTTTAAGGGGGAAAGAGCAGTTGTAAAATCCCATTGAAATATGCCTATTTTAGGTACCATTTTCTCAGCTCCAAATGCCTAACACGTTTTAGGCGAATAGAAAATATACATTATCCAATGCATGTAAGATTAAAGAAATATTTCACTTTCTCATTTATTATTTTATTGTAATATATATTTATACATGTTTGAACTAAACGAAATGATATGTCAAAAGAAATATATATAACAGTTTAAGTTAACTTTTTTTACTTGGAATTGTGTTATATATTACAACAAGACGACAAGCTTTGATGACAACGAGAATTGCACAATGTGCCTGATTTATAGCAAATGCATCTTTTTGTTTTACACTTCTCTTAAAGTAATTGAAGTAGTTTGTAGCACGTCACTAATTTTCATTGCAGCAGTTGATGACTTCTGAATTTCGGTTCGAGGAAACCAACCCTTAAGTAAACCATCTTTTGTGCCAATTTGATAAACATCATTTTGGACATTAGTAATAACCCCTAAAATATTATTATAGTCAAGTGGTCCTCGATCTACTGCAGGAACAACTAATGTAACACAGTCACCTACACTCAAAACTGGAAAATTTTGTTCAGAAAAAGTTACCATTTTTTTAGCTTCAATTTGTTGCCTGTCAAAACAATCATTTTGAACATCAACTAAGTTTTGACCTCTAATACGCAAAGAACATATTAGGCTATTTTCAGTACTTAAATTTAGAACTGCAAAATTTATGTGTATTTGCAAACTAAATTTTGTGCAATTAGTTGATAGATCTGGTTCTAATGGATTATTGGAAATTACACAAGTCATAAAAGTTGAAATAATTTCATTTACAACTACAAATTTCATTTACAACAGGAGGATTAACTGAACTAGCAGATGGTTGTTCATCAGTATTAGAATTCGAAAATTGTTCTAAAGCGTGTTCCAAGTCTTCTTCCGTGGTTAGTGTATTTAAGATATCGTTCGGTAAAAAAGTACTTCACAATCCAGCACGAATTGGTCCTAGAACTGCTTCATACGGAGTCCGATTTATTGCTCTATGTTTGGAAGTGTTCTTCTGCCACTATAAAAAATATTTTTGACAGCTCATCAGCTACATTTATCGCATGTTTTGTTTTTAAAGGACGCAAATGAAGAAATTTAGTAGCGTGGTCTTGATAATTTAAAATCCATTTATATTCTCCATCACTACAGGACTGAAAATCTATTAAGTCCACTTGACAGAGCATATTAAATCCTTTTGTTGTTATGGGCTTTATAACACCTTTTTTGGAAGAGCTTTTTTGCGAGTGCAAGATTCGCAGCACTGGACAAACAATTCGCAAGCATACTTCATAATTTTGTACTTATTTCTTACGTAGTACAACATTTTGTCTCTTCCCCCGTGACCAGTCTGGATATGTGCTTCCAACAACTTCTCGTAATAATCTTCGATTGGAATCACATAAATAAATGAATCATTTTCAGTACTCCACACCAACCTTTAAAAGCTCATATAATTTTGTATAGTGATAGAAAGAACAACTTTTCTTCGACTCCGCTCCTTCAAAATGTTTTAAACTTTCTATCACAGTTTCCAAACGACTTTTATTCCATACAGTTCTATTACTTTTTTTATTGGAATAAAATGATTTTAATTTTTCGTTAAATTCTGCACTGTTTACACTGCACTCACTCATATTTTATTCGAATAAGTATAAAGCACTTTGTCAAATATTTTTTAAAAGTAAATACATGTATAAAATAAAGATGTCAATATACATCTACTTTCAACGGCTGTGCAGAAAATACTAATAATGCTAATTTATTAAATCTAATATACGAGTTATTAAATATATAGCAAAAGTAAACAATATATCTACGAAAACAAAGAATAAATAATTTTGAAAAGAGAAAAATAAACAAAACTATAAAATGAAAAACAAGAATTCAAAAATTATGAATTTATGAAATAAATTTTATTTTATTTTAGTATATATTAATATTTTCCTTTTTCAATTACGAAAATTTTTAAAAACTTATGTCAATATAATTTTGCTGAAATTGACATTTCGTTTAGTTCAGACATGTATCAATGTATATTACATTAAAATATAAAATAATAAATGAGAAAGTGAAATATTTCTTTAATCTTACATGCATTGGATGATGTATATTTTCTATTCGCCTAAAACGTGTTAGGCGATTAGACAACTGCCTAGCCAGTTAGCTAAATGACGAATTTTGTTAGACCAGTAGACAAATACAAATAATTTCCAAGCATATTTGTCTATTGGCCGCCACTTAGCTAGTCGCCTAGGCGTTTAGCTAATTGGCTGATTCTTCTATTTGCCTACGACATATACAAAGGTCTAAAATCTGGTCGTTCGATAAAGGCAAATTTTTATTTTTCAATTTTCTGTGCCATTTTGAAAAAACAGTTACAGCCCTCCTGAAAAATCACATTTTTCCATACTTAGGTATCATTTTCTCAAAAACAACTTAACGGATATGGTTATCTTTTTTTAAATACTTGTACATTAATGGACTGTAATCTGATTGTTCGGTTTTGGAAATAAATTAGTTTATTTAAAGTTATTTGATTCTTTAACAAAAAAATAAAGAAAACGAGTAATAATTTGTTCAAAATGGCATAGAAAATTAAAAAATAACAATTTGGCTTTATCGAACGATAAGATTTCAGTCGTTTGTATATAAAACCGTCAGAAAAATTAAGTTTGATGAAAAATAATCATTTGGAGCTGAGAAAATGGTACCTTAAAATAGGCACCTTTCAATGGGATTTTACAACTGTTCTTTCCCCCTTACTTATAAAGGTCTTGAAATTATTTGATTTAAATAGAAATATATTTATATTTACAAAGTTGGTTTTTGGAGGGCAGTGAACGTTGCAAAAAATGTTATTGACACTTGTGCGTAAAAGTTTATTTCACAAGTATGATTTTCATGCAAAGTTTCTGCAAATTCCATATTTGTATAATCACAATCTCTACGCACTGGTACCTATCATAATTATTATCATATCGTGATATTTTAAAAAGTAAGAATATAAATTTTGAAATTTGCTAATTTGCAGAACTTCCTGACACCTTCACGAGCCATGAAGAACTCTAGATATTTGAAATTTGTGAAGGTATCTCTTCTAAAAATGTAGGTAAATTTGTTGTAACAAATGGTTTACAACGTGTATACATGTGTAATTGATTGAATTTATACTTTTCAAGACTTTGTAATTTTATCTTTATTGTGTAAGTAAAAAGCCAACAGAATTTTTCTAAACGACATGTATTTTCCTTCTTGTACATATTTTTGTCTTACTTCTACCCAGTAAACCTTCAGAACAGAAACTATCTTTATTAATAGAATTAGACTTCTGTTTGTACATTTATTTCAATTTGAGAATTTATACATCATTTCTTAAGTAATAAAGATTTCAAATAGATAAAAGAAAAGCAATTTGTCTGTTGATGATTTTTGGACAGTGTAAATTGATTTTAAGGGGAGACCCCACCTTAATTTTGACCCCTTTAAAATAAAATTATTAAAGGAGGTAATATTTTTTTTCTTGCATCATTTTTAACCTGAAAACATATAAGATGGTTAAAAATATTTAATTTCAATTTTTGAAGAGGTTACAATTTTTTTCTTCTGACCTATTGCATATTATTGCAAATCCATGCGAGAAGTTGTTTAGAATGGTAAAATATGCATGGAAAAAAAATTTCGTGAAAAAATATTAAAAACTGTAAGAGAAGATCGATTTTTAATATTCAAATCTTTAAATTTTGCCGAAATTTCGGAAGTCCTGAACCTTTATTTTTTTCCACTTTGATGCTCTGAGTCGAAAAAACATCGTTAAAATTGACGATTAGCTCATTTTCATGGTAAAAACTATAAAAATCATGGCTTTTTGCATTTATTTCGGTATATATAAAGTATACCATAAAAGCTTCGGACTATGATTTTTATGGAATTTACCACGAAAATGAGCTAAATATAAATTTTAACAATGTTTTTTTAATAATAGCATCAAATTACGTAAATATACACAATTTGAAAAAAAATTAAAGATTTACGGCTTTCGAAATTTCGGCAAAATTTAAAGATTTGAATATTAAAAATCGATCTTCTCTTACAGTTTTTAATATTTTTTCACGAAATTTTTTTTCCATGCATATTTTACCATTCTAAACAACTTCTCGCATGGATTTGCAATAATATGCAATAGGTCAGAAGAAAAAAATTCTAACCTCTTCAAAAATTAAAATTAAATATTTTTGACCATCTTATATGTTTTCAGGTTAAAAATGATGCAAGAAAAAAAATATTACCTCCTTTAATAATTTTATTTTAAAGGGGTCAAAATTAAGGTGGGGTCTCCCCTTAAATAGTACTTTTTTGGATCTGTGTTTATCACTAAATAAAAGGCTTTAACCTTTTACTAATAATAACATCCGATAACATCATTAATTAATTATTTTTTAAGAAATGCAAGTTTTAAAAAGCCTTCTTTTATTCGAATTATATATTTATTAGCAAACTGTCCTCTTAAACACTGTGGCATGCTGTGGCATTTATGGAATGCATAGAGTCGTTGTCTCTCTGTTGAATAACGATATTAAATTTTCCCTTTACTTCTTGAATAAATGATCTAATCTTTCAGTTGAGACATGAACATCGACGGATTTATATTGGATGTTTTAGGCAAAGAAAAGTTAACTGTTTTAATAATTGTGTTGAATATAAAACCTGTTAACCTGTTGAAAGTATACATTATTTACATTATAAAAATGATGAAGAATAAGTATTTTCTCTCTCCCGTTTTTATTCGTATCAACTTCTGGACGGGAATTTGGAACATCGGAGATCTCCACTGTAGGACAGTATTTCAAAGAAGACAGCGGGGGAAGAGCTTGAAGTTTATAACTCTTGTTATTTATGTATTAAATACAGGTGCCCGCATGTGGCATGTCTTTGAAAATGCACTCCTTAAACAATTAATTAGATGTTTTTCTTGCAAACTTAGGAGCTGAAAGAGATGAGCAGGAAGAAAGGTTTCACCAGGACATCGCAATTGTAATACTTTTTCAAATTATTTTTCATCTGCAACTATAAAAATATTCAGAAAAAATTGTTATATAATTTATTTGCAAATTTCAGCAAAACTTAAAAAATCACTTTTTTCGATTTTCAGCGATGCAAATAAAAAAATACCAATAATAATGAAAATTTTCTACTTATTATTAGTTTTTTAGTCATTTAAACGCTCGAATCCAATCGAGTACTCGAAAAATTGGAGTAAAATTGGAGTATATTGAAAGTATTAAAGACTATTTGATTATTCGCTATAATACAATTGAAAGATAACTAATAATCAAGCTACAAAAAAACAAAAGGAAGATTTTATAAAACTGTAAATCGAACTAAATATGAAGTTTCAAACAATTTGATAAAACTACCTGTTTTATATTTTTGAAAAATTTTTCGACTCTACATCAAAATTAGACATAAAATGACCGCAGAAGTTTTCACACACTATAAGAAAATTGAAGGAGCCACTGCTGCGGTTAATACTGCATCAGAATAATTTCAATCCACTTATTTTTTTAAAAGTTATAAGCGTTTTTTTTCCTCCTCGGTCTCCCCTAAAAATTGTTTCTCGCAGAAGCAATCTGTATATTCTCCAATATTAATTACTTAATTTTGAAGAATAAATTTTTCCGAAGATTAACATTATCTTCTTTTAAAAAGCCAGTAGGCCACAAGATTTACCATTCTTTTAAAAAATTATTTAAATTTAAATGGTCATATAAAAATTAATGACCCTAAAGTAATTTCTATTGTAAGTGCATCAATTTTTAAAATTTCCCACTGTAATAATTACTATTAATAACATTTATTACAGAATTTGCAATACCTATTTACTTCACGGAAAGTACTTTTTAAACAAAATAGTAATTTTTAACAGAAAAATATAATTTATTATTACTATTTCATAAGAGCTTTTACTCGAAACTCAGTTTCATTTTTCTCCGTGTTCAGATACCCAGTTTAACCTCATTATAAACAATATAAGAACAATATGTTGAGGTATTTAAATTTAGACGTACAAGTATCCTATGATATCTTAACATTATCTAATGTTTTCAAAGTTGGATGCAAAAGATAAGCCACTTGAAACAGATCAGTATTACAGTTAGTTTAAAGGAATTCACATTTAGCAGTTTCCAATTTATCCGATGGACATAACAGTAGACGAATTTGAGTAATTATTCAAACTTTTCTTTATCTTATTATTATTAATATGTTTAAGAAATTAAATATTTAGTGTAATAACTGTTGGAATTTTTTAAAAAGTTTTTTTAAAACAAATTTTCGAAACCACTGTTAAATTGAACCAGTTTAATATTCATTTGTCATTTTTCTAATCATTTCATAAATCCCTTGAATATTATTATTCCTCTAAGCATAACCCACTCCAGATTATTTTAAAAATTGATAAAAGTTTCTCATTGTGAAGACTGTTGAAAAACACTTTGTTATCAGGGGTTCAATTTTTTTGTAGTACAATTTATTATTTTCAAAAATGTATTTTGCCAAAGAAAAGCAAAAAAATATATTTAAATGAATGAAATGAAGAAAAAATCACTAATTTTGCATTTAATACTATATGTGACCTGGTCTATGAAAAGGGACCTTACGTGCGAAAACAAGTTTTCGAGAAAACAGCAGTTAAAGTTTAACTTAGAAAAACCCTTGTAACTTTTTTAAATATTAATATTTTTAATCAAGTTAGGCTTATTTTCTTCATCGTGGATCATAGTATCAAAATAAAAAACATACAAGTAATAAAAAAAATTTTTTTATAATTGTTTATATAAATTAATAACAAACTCCCCAGACACAGAAAAAATAATCAAAGTTTTCTAAATAGCAACAATAAGTATAAATAAGTGACACATGTTTGTAAAGGTTTTCGAGGTCGCTGATTACGAATATGATGTTAAATTGACAATTTGACAGTTGACAGTTGACAGCTGCCAACTTCTCTAAAAAGTGATCGTTTTTTTATAAAAAAAGATAGTAATAAGGTTTTTGAGGTCGCTGATTACGAAATATGATATCAAATTTGAATTTTAACTGTTGACAGTAGTTGTCAAATAAACTGTCAACTTTTCTAGATAATAAAAAGTTATCGTCTTCGCTATTTTAATTTGTATAATAACAAAAAAATCAGTTTTTCGAATTTATACTCTTGTTTCTTTTGACTTTAAAAAAACTTCTAATCAACTTATGACTTTTTGGTTTTCACCATCTTAAAGAGCGTTTCAAACTCTATCCGAATCAACAAAAAAGTAAAAAATGATTTTTTAACACGTAAGGTCCCTTTTCATAAACCAGGTCACAGATAGGTATTTCGCTAGAACGATTCTATAGAATTTTTCCATGAATTCTACTAAATTTGAATGAAATTTTAATTATTAGAAAAAATATGAATTTCGTGAAATACTTGTTTAAACTGGTTTATTATGATTGTTGTTTATAAGAAAAATTGTCATATATGAATTAAATATTATGGACAGTAATTGATTTAATTATATTAATTTGTATAATAAATATGAATGAGGGAGAAGGAAACATAAATTGCTAGCTGTTTAATTAAGTTAACTCAGTGACCGAGATACTTAATCAAATGAAACGCCGACGAGGTCGACAATATTTTATTTAAAAATAATTCGGATATACTTATAGGATATCGACCTTCTTGAAGGTTTTTATCCGCTCTAAATGCGGTGGAAACAAAAACATGCGTTAAATTTCCTATTTTGGAGAAATGGTACTCAGTTGAAAGTTTAAATTTAAGAATCATTGCGATTAGGAAAAAGGAGATCATTTGTGTTTGCTTATGAAGAAAAATTATATTTTTTCTATTTGTGAATCACTGTATTCGTCAAGATTCTCACTTTTCAAAAAATATTATCTTATTCTCATCTAAAATCCATTTGGGGCATTCTGCGTGAAGCGGACAACCAAGAACTTTTAATTATTGTAAAATCCTTATTTTTAAAATGCTGTTGTTATTTCCATTAAAGTGCATGAAATTAAATAATTAAGGCACTTTTTTAAAGTAAATTTAATTGTCTTTAATTTCATTATTTTTAATTTTAAAATTTTATAAATTTTCATTGAAAAAAGTAAAAACGAAAGTTTCGTGTTTATTCTTATAGACCTTCGACCACTTAAAAAATTGTCATTTGATAATGTCTTAAAAAATAGTTT